ATACTCCTATTTCATTTAATTCTCACAACAATCCTGTGGTGTAAGTACAATTAATTTCTAACCTCCACTCTATAGACAAGAAATGGAGAATAAACCAGATACCAAAAGTAACACAACTACTAAATGGCAGAGCTGAGATTGAAAAATAACACTTCTAACAGAGATATATCAGCAAACATGCTTTCTCATAACTGCCCAACAAAACATTTGTGTGGCCACCAGCAGTGGCATTTATGGAGAGGACCTGGGACTCTGGCCCAGCATACCTTCGGATACAGACAGAACAAAACCTGGAATATGGCCAAATTTATTTCCACAAAGAAAATGGCAAGAAAACAAGCAAGTAAGGAGATGTGCTACAGATAATCCAGCTGCTTCTCTTCTGTACCCATCCAGCATCTCTGCCATCACCCATTCAAAGGAAGTGTCAGGAGGCCAGGGTGAAGAATTCATCACTGACATACAACGGGGGCAGTGAAACTCTTGGCAGGTGTTCTCTAAGCTGTAACTCCTCTCCTATGCAAACTAACGCCCAAGCTCAGTCCTGACTTTATCACACTCAGCTTTGACAAGAGCCATCATTAGTGTCCAAACTCCGCTTCTTCCAGGCTGATGGCATGTGTCAGGCCTTGATCCCTGTGCCACTCCTGCCTGCCAAGTCAGGAAAGGTAATGCCTTTGGCTTTTTTTTTTTTTTTAAATATCTCAAGTCACAAGGCAGCAGCTGACACCGACTCCTTCCTGAGGATGGACACTTGGCCAGGAGCCAAGCTTAAGTTTATTTGGAAGTTCTTGATCTTTATTGAAATCATTTCTGCCTTCTCACTGGCACAATTAAAATAAATTTCTCCCCAGTGAGCAGCCAGAGTTTCTGCAAGCCTCTTGCATCCAGTGGTAGTCAACTTTGATTAGAGAGAAGTGTTCGAGTGTAGCAGCAGCTAATAAATGTCAGAGCCCGGAGGGCCTTCACAGAGTTTTGATCATTTATAGCTATTTCTCATTTCATGCTATGGACAGTTTTTAAGCCAACACCACTCACTGTTGCGTACTTAGTCAAATGCTTCAGGTCAGCATACCAACCAAATTCCAGTCAATGGTCTGGTTGTACTGGTTCTCGGTATATCCCTAAGGCTAAGACGTTTGACCTAGCAGGCAGACGTTTGATTTTGCAGATGCACTTTGCAGATGGCCAACAGGACATTAGGAAACTTCTGCAAAAGGCATGCTTTTTCACAAGGAAGAGGTAGTGTGGTGTAAGTAAACACACACACGTACGCAATGCACGTACACACAGGGCCAAGGATTTCAATTCTAACCCATTGTGTGGTTTTCATTCGCCTTCTGAATCAGCTTCCTCATCTATTAAAGATCCTAGCCTAAATCACAGATTCCCAAATGTCTATAAAATGGCTACATCAGAGTTCGCTGGGGGCGTATGAATACTACAGAACCCACTCCTAGAAGATATCATTTACATTTCCAGGATGATGCCTAACAATATACACTATTAGCAATCTTCACTTCTTAACATTACCACAATTAATCCTGATGCAGTCGGGTTTGAAAATCATTAGATTAAATGATCTCTAAGATTCCTGACAGCTTTGAAAGTTATAAAACTATAAACTGGAATTCATTTTGTTTTTTTCATCTCAGAATTTTTCCCATATCTATGATTAGCATTCCATTCAAACAGAACTGTCCATCAGGTTACCAATGAAGACATAGATCTAAAAATAACATGTCAAGTATTCATAGCTTACCCAACCTGGTAAATTACTATTTCATTTATGAAAATATGAGGTAGATCTAAGCATAGCTTTTCTATCAAAAATAAAGCTTTTAAAACATCGTATTTTACTAAGATTTAGTTATATGCTGGAACTAGCCAAGAAATGCAAAATTTAAACAACAATTTCTCTAAATGTTATGAATCACTAAAAGTTAGTTATAGAATGACTATGTCTCATTACCTATTAACTTAAGCTGCCTGAACACAAAGCTATAATCTACCTCAGGCAATAATAAACTTCATAATAAGAATTAAGTTTTTAAAGCAAGTGCCATATGCTTAAATTTAACCCAATAAACTAAAATAGGTCAAAGGAAGAAAGCCATAGTCCTATATTATTGGTGTATCATCAGGGATTCATTTTTGTAAAAAAGGAAAAATTGAGTTCTTTGATCACTGTTCTTGTTCATTTCTTAACTAGTGGAGGCAAAACACATCCTCTTGCCACTAAAGGACATTAAAAAACTCTGCCAACACTTTCACACAATGCAAAAAAACCCAAGATTCTCTCCAGCTCATTCCTTAATCCCTGTGAATATTAGCTAATACATGATTGTGGCTCCTATTTCTCTTGTGACTTCATGTTCCTAACTTACTGCCTTATGCGGCTTGGCTGAACAACAATCCTTGCTATAGTTACTTCGAAGAGTTGTTCATTGATTACAGATATCCTATGAATTAATTTAGCATGGAAAATGAAGTCCTGCTTTCTGTGGGTTTGCAAAATAATCTAAAATAAAGTCTCAAACACACAAAATCATTGTTACCAGGGGATGAAGAATTCAGGTGGCCCTTAGAATATTTTGATAAGTTTTGAAGTATGTGTCCCATTTGAAGAGAAAATATTCACTGCCTTTGGCACTAGATCAAATTATCTCAGTGAGTTGGCCTCTTCTTGTCTTCCAGACTCATCTAAAGTATCTGGGGTAACTTGATATAAAGTTGCCATGTCAAATAGCAAAATATGCTAAGCTATTAAGTTTAAATTTCTATTCCTACTTCTCAACTCTGATAAAACCTCAAGTAGACTAAATATAAGAATGACCAGTAATTCCATATACAACCTCAATCTGTGGCACACATTTTTCCCCTTTTCCTAATATTCAAGTAAACACTGTGGATTACGCAGGCTCTTTTGTAACCATTGTCTTAAAATAACACATTCTTTCAGCATAGCTCAAAGCCAGAATTAGTAGTCATAGTGCTGGAATCAGCTCCAAACAAATGGTTGCTGGGCCTGGGGCAAGGCAGGGTGGTAGGGAGGGGAACTGGGGGAGGGTGGAGGGAACTGTTGCAAAGTAAGATCATTAAATTAATTCAAATATTTGTGGAGCTTCTCATCTGGAAAGTTATTTTGCAGATTCTACTTATATAAGCAGAATTAGTACTTAATAGCTGTTATCAGCAATTAGTGAACAGCCTGATGAAGTCTAAATAACCACTTTTCCAGGGACTACCATTGTCCGGTTTTTATTGTCTGGCTACACCACACAGGTGACGCATTAGGGAAAAGGTGTGGCTAGATGATGGTGACCATGTGTACTACTGCTGGCAAGAAGCCATTCAATAAAATGAATATCCAGACTTCCAATGACAATGACCAGGGACAAGACTAGACTATGAAGTCTTTGGTCTACAGCTCTGGTCACAATTTCTTAACCTAAAATTCATAGGGAGGCTACAGATGGGTCCTTGGGAGTCCATAACTGAAATCACTTTCAAAATTTTATTTATGTGTATGTATTTAAGGGAAAGACTCCACAGCTTTCTAGGGAGTTTTTAATTATACTATCTAACTTAATCCTCACAGTCTATGTAGTAGATACTAAAACGATTCTCATTTTTATAGATTGAGGAAATTGATGCTTATGGGAAATAAAAACTTTACCTCAGGTCACAAAGAAAATGATAAAGCATTAATTTCAAAAATTTCTTTAAAATGTACATATAAGTAACTAGTGGGGGGCCATTTAACTATAAAAGAGGTTTTTTACACTAATATATATAGACTAGAAACCACATTCTGGGCAAAACATGCAGTTTATTTAGTTACATGTAAGTAATAGTTGCAAATGATTTTAACAATTTAAATATTTTGAAATAACATAATACATATAGCTTTTAACATGTGTCAGGTACCATTTTACACACTTGACATATTTTTACCTCATTTAGTCCTCATTATAGTCCTATGAGAGAGATCCTATCAACATCTCCATTTCACATATACGGAAACAGAGAGACAGGGAGGTTAAGTAATCTGCCCATGGTCACATAGCTGCAAAGTCAAGATTCTAGCTTCAAAATCTGTGGTCTTTATTAGACTATAATAGCGCTTCTCTCAAACAATATATCGACATTTTAAACTGTGGTCACTTTAAAGGAAAAAAAAAACATAGCCAAGTAAGAATCCAACTTGGAATCGTCTATCATGACCAGGTAATTTATCCTACTTAGCACTTATGAACCAAAAGCTAAGAGAAAAGTGAGACCTAGCAATTGCATTTGCACGCTACTTCCACATACACAACCCCCACAGCTTTTCACAACTCTGTGCAAAAGGACAATTGCTATTTGTCCTGCATCTTCACTGATGCTCTGAGAGGTTAATCTCACCATACAACACTCTCCCTCTAATGGAATATCCTTCCTTCTCTGTCAAGTGAAAATTCAACTAAATGTTCAAGGCCCAGATCAAATGTGACCAGTTAGATGCACCTTTCCTGACACTTCTGGGCAGAATTAACCTTTCTTTTCTGTTATCCTGAACATGGTTCATGTCATTCCACCAGCACAGCGATCCCCCTCTTTATCATCAGCTGTGTCTATGTCTCGTTCCCTGGTAGACACTGAGCTCCCTGATGGCAAGGGCCCTATGTAGGAGAAATAATTCTCAGAATTATGCTGCTGAGTTAGTAAAGGAATGAAGCAGAACACTAGCAGTGTGGCTAAGAGGAGCATGAATTCATGCTGACATGCTGTCATCTTTACAACTTAAGATTCATCCTCAAGGACAGAGGCATTACCCCACACACGTCCAGAGAGGCTCCCTGCGTGGTGCCTGGCAAGTGCCTGGGCAGACAGCACCTGTGACAGTGACTCCACTTCTATGGTACCAACCCCTAAAATGCTTCATTTAATTGAGTTTATGCTTCTTGTTTTCTTTCAAGTATATCAAGAGGCCTCAGAAGGACTACGGAAACATTTACCTGTCCACATTGAAGTTTGGTGGGCTTCACTATTTTGTAGCACCTCTGCAAAAGGAAAGAAAGGAGGTAAGTGAAATGATAAAAGATGGCACAGTGAGTTCTGACAGACTCAAAACCCATCTAAATCAAGAATTACATAGTTGGACCAATTTATTAAATATGTAGCTTCTATAACTCTTTGCTAATTTAACCCTTAGACTTTATCCGTGCATTGAGTACATAAACCCTCTAGCCAAACTCACATAGAAGATGCGATATGTACCTTAAATTCACTTGATGATATAAAGTAAAATTATGAACTTAAAGCAAATGAAAGGAATGAGGGTGCTGAAAGCTTTATTGCCATGAAAATAAATATCTCAAACACAATGGGAAACACCCCTGTATCACCTAGAAGCCCACCCTTCACTATTCTCTAGTCTTTCAAAACCGTGAAAACCATTCTTTACCCAAATGGTGTACAGCACTGACATCTCTTCACATCATCAGGCCAAGTAGAAGACCATTTAAACCAAACCCATTTAAGAGCTGTAAAAATAATGCACAAAACAGCTGCTTGATTTTTTGTTGTCATTTTTATACAATTTACTGTCATATCACTGAGAACTCAATGAAGCTGGTTAACGGAAGTGTTCTGACAGTGAAATAACTAACTGATGTAGAATATAAAGTTTACATTCAAACAAAATTCTCAATGGTTGTTTTTTTTATTATGCACCATTTGTCTGCTTTAAAAATAAATTTGAGAACAGTCAACCTTTAATATTTAAACCTAAACCTAGAGCAAATGGCAATAACTATCCCTGATTAAAGACTAACCTAAATTCAGCCAGCAGTTCTGTCAGCCCTTATCACTGCTGAGCACTCCTGGATCCCTCCCATTATAAACCCTCCATTCCAAAGGGTTCCATCCACATAATTCATTCTTTTTCCAGATAGTTCATCAAGGACACCAATAGCCAATACAAATAATCAGTATGTCTATAACCCACTGATACCCTTTCTGCCAAAAGCAAAGGGCACATGACATTTTAATTCCTCTCTTGTGAATCCCTGAGAAATGCGAGCTTTTCCATTAGGTGGTGGAGGGGGCTGTTCCTTTTGTTTTTTTAACAAAGAAAATAACCTGTAAGACTACCACAAACCTCTGTTATAACCCAGCGGTCCAGGATCTTAGCTAGGGAGACTATCAATTATGGAGGTTAATTTTTTTCACCTTCCTGTATGAAACATTCCATCTACAGCCTCGCCAACTACTATTAAAGGCAAATAACAGGATGTTTTACTTGACTTAGCTCTCACTGAAGGTTCTATCCTCAGAAACTCAACAGTAAATTTTGTTGTGGATAAAGGAGGAGGAAGTATGGTCAGTGAGCTCTGCAATCATGAAGTCCAGGGTTGAAGTTCTGGCTTGTAACATTGGCCTTTGGCTACGTGACTTTGGACAAATTGACACTTGATTGCTGTAAGGCTCAGTTTTCTCATGAGGTAAAGTGGGTTGCTGAGATTTTAATGAAATAAAAATATACAAATCTCAGCACGCAGTAGGGTACTCAATTTTAAGTTCTTTCCCTCTCCCTTCAATAATGAACATAAACTACTATAAAATGGGATATTTGACATTTTCAGAATTAAAAGATATCATTCAGAGCCATCTTCTCAGACTTCCACTTGAGTCTGCTTGCGTAAATACTCCAGTCTCACAATCCTGAAGTTCATTAGCTCTCCACTGTATACAAGTTTTCAAAATTTAAATACTCTCAAATTAAAATCTGAAAAGAGGATATCCAGCCAAAATGGAGGCCGTAGGTAGATACACCGTGCCCCCTTGCACAACCTAAAGGAAGACCACAAATTTAAAAACAAAAAACAACCAGAAGTGCCAAAAAAATCAAACTGTATAGAAATCTGACAACCAAGGAGTTAAAGAAGAAACATTCATCAGACCGGTAGGAGGGGCGGAGGCGGGCAGCCAGGGCAGGGACTCTCGATAAGGCAGCATCTGGAGGTCTGGGGTGTGCGGCGGCTGGCAGGGCTGGCAGGGCTGGCAAGGCTGGCAAGGCGATGGCTGGTGGAGCAGGCGGTTCCACATTTGCGTGCAGACAAACCAAGAGGAACAACTGGGGAGCGAGACAGACCACGCTATGCAACCCAGGGTTCCAGCACCCGGAAATAAAGTCTCAAAGCCTCTGACTGGAAAAACCTGTTGTGGCAATGGGAGAAATTCCCAGCCTCACAGGAGAATTTGTCGGAGAGACCCACAGGGTCCTAGAATGTACACCACCCTACCCACAAGGGAATCAGCACCAGAAGGGCCCAATTTGCTTGTGGGTAGTGGGGGAAGTGACTTAAGGCAGGCAGAGAGCTGAGCAAGCAGCTCTATTCCCTCTCAGACCCCTCCCCCACATTTAGCACCCAAGGCAGTAAAGTGGTTGCCCCGCCCTGGCGAATACCTAAGGCTCCACCCCTTACTACGTAACATGTGTGGGGAGTCCAAAAAAAAAAAAAAAAGCCCAAATGAAAGAATAGATCAAAGCTCCTGAAAACACAACTAATCAATGAAGAGACAACCAACCTACGAGATGCACAGTTCAAAACACTGGTAATCAGGAAGCTCACAGAAGTGGTTGAGGATGGTTGCAGATTAGAGGAAAAAGTTAAGGCTATGAAAAGTGAAATAAAGGAAAATGTACAGGGAACCAATAGCAACAGGAAGGAAGCCGGGACCCAAATCAACGGTGTAAAGCAAAAGGAAGGAATAAACGTTCAACCAAAACAGAATGAAGAAACAAGAATTCAAAAAAAATGAGGAGAGGCTTAGCAACCTGTGAGACAACTTTAAACACTCCAACATCTGAATCATAGGGGTGCCAGAAGGAGGAGAGGAAGAACAACAAATTGAGAACTTATTTGAAAAAATAATGAAGGAGAACTTCCCCAATCTGGCAAAGGAAATAGACTTCCAGAAAGTCCAGGAAGCCCAGAAAGTTCCAAAGAAGTTGGACCCAAGAAAGCACACACCAGGCAAAACACAATTACCTTAGCCAAGATTAAAGATTTTAAAAGCAGCCAGAGGAAAGGAAAGAGTTACCTACAAAGGAGTGCCCATAAGACTATTAGCTGATTTCTCAAGAAAAACCTTGCAGTCAGGAAGGGGCTGAAAAGAAGTACTTGAAGTCATGAAAGGCAAGGAAGGACCTAAATCCAAGATTACTCTGTCCAGCAAAGCTATCGTTTAGAATGGAAGGGCAGATAAAGTGCTTTCCAGATAAGGTCAAGTTAAAGGAGTCCATCATCACCAAGCCCTTATTACATGAAATATTAAAGGGACTTATCTAAGGAAAAGAAGAGGATCAAAAATATGAACAGTAGAATGACAACAAACAACATTGAAAACCAAACCTAAAAAATACCCATAAAAACAAAAACTAAGTAAACAACGAGAGCAGGAACAGAATCACAGAGAGGGAGATCACATTGAGGGTTATCAGCAAGGGAGTGGGAGAGGAAGGGGGGAAAGGTACAGGGACTAAGTAGCACAAATGGTAGGTACAAAATAGACAGGGGGAGGTTAAGAATACTATAGGAAATGGAGAAGCCAAAGAATTGGGGAGGACAGGGAATGTGGGTGGGAGGGGTGTGCAGGGTGGAGGCGAATAAAGGGGGGGGGAAATGGGACAGCTGTAATAGCATAATCAATAAAATGGTATTTTTTTAAAAAGGAAGGAATTTTAAGAGGAAAAAAAACTGAAAAGACTGTGAGAGCCACATCAGAGTGGTCTCACTGCTCACTGGCTCCTGAAACGTGGGGACAGACTGAAGAAAGGCCGCCAGAGCCAGGACACAGCCTTCAGAGGGTTCCAAGGAACATTCAACGCTGTCGGTGAGTTTGGGATTTGAAAAAACCACCGACCGTTGACTGTACCCTGGGGTCCTTACAAACACCACTACATTTCCTGAAGCAAAGGAACAGGCTGTACCTTCACGTATTACATGAGACCACCAGGACCAGTCCCACTACCTGTTCCCCCAAAGGTGATTTTTTTAAAGCTCCCCTCTATTTATAGTGCCCATTCTTTGTTTTTTGTTGTGCTTTTGACAAATGTGTTTTGTTTCAACAACATGAGAAAAACTCCATGATAATAAGTGTACTAAATGTCTCCTAGAAATATGTCATTCTGGTGTGAAATAGCACGTAGCAGGAAGAGGTTTTTCTAAAAAATCTACTTTATGATGGAGCAAAATCCAATTAACTATTTTATACTTATTTCTCCCATATACCCTTAAAACTTTTAATTGGGGGCAGGGGAGGATTTAATAAGCAAAAATAGCACAAAATGTCTGCACAGTTGTTATCACATTCTGCCTCAAGTTATAGTTAATGTGGTTAAGTTTTGACAGCCCCATTAGAATATGAACTATTTGAAAACAGCTATTGCCTCACTATTTCCATCCACACATATGCTTATTTAAATGTCAGTTAAATTCAAGTAAAAAGTCAGGTCTGGAGTCAGGCAGATCTGGGACGCATCTTGGCTCAACTCCCTAGCTAGCTGTGTGACTCTGGACAAGTGTCTGAGTCTCGGTGACACTTAAAAAGTAGGAAATGATAATAATACCTACCCTCATGGAATGTTTTGCAATTCAATGAAATGAAAACATAAGGTGCTTTGTACCATTCCTAGAACACACAGCAAATGCTCAGTATACGGAAGATGTTATTACTATTAGCCCAAAATATAACCTGTGCTAATTTAACTTGAAAAGTACTCATATTTCTCGGTACAAAACAGAGAGAAAGAAGCAGGGTCCTCAACTGTTGTTTTTACCCCCAGTATTCAAGCTCTGCTTGTGTGATCACAAGGCTACTTGTCAGCTTCCCCAGGAGCCCTTTCCTGCTCTTCCTGAGCCACAGTTTCCCATCTTTAAGAACCCCCAGCTCTGGTGTCAGTGTTACCAATAATCACGTGGGTTCTCAGCCGTGAGCTGCGAGGAGAAACACCACACCTCGAAGAAACCAGTGTGGAGAAGAAGAGCCAGGAGCT